GTGCGGGGCCTGCAACGACCGGGTTCTGAAGGGGGGGGGGCGGCAAGGCTTGGGGTCTGCAGCTAAGGGCTGTTGGGACTGTTGTGAGGCAGCAAAATGAGCGCCAGCTCTTGACAGCGATGGGGTGGGGTTGTGGATGCTTGCTGATCCAGGGTCTTGCTGGGGCACGGAGCGCGGCAGGTGCGGTTGGGCGTGGATCGGCAGGGGTGCAGCGGAGGTGCTGCGAGCGTCGACGGGGGTTACCCCTTCGCGGCGTCCGGCCTCTTGGCTGGGGGTGTTTCACACAAACAGTTCCTGCACTCAAATAGATGCAGCAGACACTGGACCACTTCAATGCGCAGACACTCCATCAACCCCTTTCTTGCTCTTCTGCACACCTGCAATCACAACTCCGCAGGGGGAATTGCCAGACTGGAAGCGAACCGGCGGCGCCCCGCCCACGCGCCGCGGCCGCCACCGCGGGGCGCCGGCGGCCGCCCTCACCCACGGCTTGAGCGGGGAGGTTTTTGGCGGCGGCGGCGGCGGCGGCGGCGGCGTGCCCGTCATGCTGCTGGGGGCCGGCAGCCCTGGCGGGGCGCTGGCGCTGCTGCCGCTGGCGGCGGCGGGGCGGGCAGGGTCTGGGTTTGGGGCGGTGGACGGTGGCGGTGGGCCGATCAAGCCGCTCCTGTCGTACGATGACTTGTAACGCCAGCTGTACAGCTGTGGGGTCAGGCGTGCCATCCACAACGTGTTTGCACCGCATTATAAGCAAAAGCTTGGGGACAGCCAACAGCGGAGAGTCCTGCTGATGTCAGCCACACTGAACTGATGAAAGCCGCATCCGCTGTGGCCATCAAAGGCGGGCAGCTGTGGCAACCGGCTTGCTGGCGGTGCTCACATGCCACGATCTACCCCTTATGCTATTCGCACGTCCCGGGGATTGTAGCACAGTCTTCATCGGACTCCAGATCCGGCCCTGATCTGATCCGCGTTGCTACTATATCGTCAGTTGTAATCTGATGCAGAGCTGATAGGTTAGAGCACAGGCCAGACGTTTCTTCCGTATCACCGTGGCAGAAATGGTTGGTGCCGACACCGCCGTGCTGCCCGTGGCGTCCACAGCAGACTGGATCGTAGATCAGGCGCAGCACGTCACGATAGATGATGCAGGTGCGACAGTGCGTTGCGCCTGCGCCGACCACGCTGACCGGGCCGGTACTGCAGTGCAGCACGACCTAAACTCGCACTGGGCAGCCGCTGCCGCCGCACCGGTCGGTCGCCGCCGCCCTTGTCACAACAAACAACCGCGCATGGATCGCAGCGCTGCAAACTGCTGCTGAGCAGCTCGTGGAGGAGCTTGATGCCGTAAAGCAGAACGCGGCGCACGGCTGGGACCGAGGTGGGTATCACTCCTGCCGACCACCGCCCCCAAAACGCAGCAAAGCGGTCGGCATGAAACGGAACTGGCAGGCTGGGCGCAAGCCAGCCGCCGCTTGCGAGCGCGGCGGGCTGCGGCAAGCAGCGCCGCGGGCCCTCCACGCTCTCGCCATGCGCGAGCGCGGCGCGCCCGTCCTGCCGCTCGGCACAAACGTGCTCAGTGCTCGACACGGGCAGCGAGGGACGAACAGCAGTGCCCCGCCCGCAGTGCCGCACACCGTAAGACCTCGCGCCGCCACCTCCCTCCGCCCCATCCCCACCCACCCCTACTTCGATTTGAAGCGCCCGTTGTGTTCTTCACCACACCCCACCCCGCCCATTCTCCGCTGCGCCATGTGCGTTCTCATCACCGCCACACCCACCGCAGAGCTCCACTTTTACGACGGCGGCCCCCACACGCTGCAGTACCTCCTCGTTCTCGACGCACTGAACTTCTGCTTTTGGCCAGGTGAGGTTCGAAATTCGATATCAGAATTCCAGAGAGTCGCTTGATCGGGTCGACCGCGGAGTGAAAATCTGGGTGCTGATGCGGTCGACCGCGCGCAGCATGTCGCCTGCTCGCGCTGCTGCTGCTGCTGCTGCCAGCCGGTCGTGCAGCTGCGCCCTGCGCTCTGACGCTTGGATGCGGGGCAAGACGGCGTGGGTGCGTGTTTGGGGGGGGGGGGCAACCAGGGGTGTACTGGGAGGTGGACTGGACCCGAATGAGTGCTGGTTCTGACACACACCGCGGGCGGCATCGATACCATTTGACCGTCGTCACATGACTCCCCAGATGACGAGCTCGAGTACGAACACCTGGCGGGGGGC